CAAAACCTGACTTATCTTTTTATTCCCTTGTCTAGTTCACTACTAAATAACCTAAACTTAATGATTATAAATAGCTTTGCACTTTAAGTTCAACTGTGAAAAAGAGGATGTTTTGAATAATTTAAAACAGAGTTCACATAAAAACTCAGAGCAATGGAGGCTATGTTATCAGATTTCCAGTTTATGCTGAAGATGTGCTGCAAGTCAAATCAAATCAAATTTTATTTGTATGGCGCCAAATCACAACAAAAGTCATCTCAGTGGTTTGTTTGTGTTAGTGGTGGTGATAACTTTCTGTTTCTTCATATTTATTAAATGAAATTAAACTATTATATGTATAAAAAGTCCCTATTTCAGTTAACTTAAAGGAACTTGTATACCGTATCACTGCTGTTGCCAGCAAACCATTAGTTTTTAATTGATTAGGTAAGAATTCACAGTGAACACTGTCATCTGGGCTTAAGAGCCCAAAAGTACAACATAGGATAATATTTGGTATATAATATTGGAAGCCAACTGCGATGATTCAGGCATCAGGGTGCTCCAAGAGCATCCCAGCACACAAAAATGTAACCTAAACTGAGCTTATGTTGTTACCTAAAATGGAGGTGACTAAAGTGTCTTGCTTTGTTGAGCTACCTGGAGTAGCTCAACAAGAGACTTATTTCACAGATGACATACTTGTCAATATAATATGATCCGAAAGTAATACGTTTTATTTAAAAAAACAAACAAAAAACAAACTACAACTTGAGAACTCTGGGAAGAACAAGCTGCAGCTTTGTAGCTGGAATTACCAGTAGCAGTGCTGCAACAGTTTCTCCCTTTTCTGACAGTTATGTTGTTATCAGGAGAGGGAACTGCTGTGTGGTCGGGTTCTCTGCGTGATCTGCAGCAGATATGGGTGCAGCATCAAAACTACAGCTGGGTGGACTCAGCTGAATTGATGCAGTGTGGTTTAGGGATTAAAAGAAGTCTCCTATAATCACATATCAAGTTATTTCAAACACTGAAACTAAACACTAAATGAAATGAAAGCTGTCAAGCTTGCTAATACTACTGATTCCACAATCGAGAGCTATTTCTATGGGTCTTTGCACCTTCTACAACCTTCAGTCCATTATTTTGATTCTTCAGTTGGGTTCAATCCACACCGTCTTGACTTAAAATTACTTTGACTTTACAGTGTATTTATATTCAACAGGTAGGCAGCAAAACTCTGCTTGGATGTCATAAAGTATGTTGTATCTGTATTTTGTTTTAAAAGGCAATGAGAGCTCTTCTTCCTACTGCATGGCATCTTTCTTGTGCACCCATATTTTGTAAACAAAATGAAATTGGTTCCAAGAAAATTAAAGTGATAAATCCTGATGTATGAATACAATAGCACACACTAGGTATATAAGATGACATCCACTGTGTCTCTCTCTCCTGTCTTTGTGATTGTAATTCCACACAGAAATGATGCAGGTACATTTTATTTCAGATCAGAATCACAAACAGTCCAAGATGGGTGGAGAGGAGAATAGAGAGAGCTGGAAAATGATGATTCATCACCTGAATATAAGGTTATCTGAATGGGCTGGCAGCCAGACTGTCCCGCATTTATGAAGAGTCCTTCCAATGCTTACAAATTTATCTGTGAGAGAGAATATGTGGGGGTCATGGGGAAATATTAGGTACAGATATTCAACTGGGTTGAGATCTGGTGACTGCGAAGGCCATAGCAAATGCTTCATATGATTTTTGTACTCATCAATCCATTCACTGACACCCCTGTGTCCTATGGATGGGGGCACCGTCATCTTGGAAGAGACCACTCCCATCAGGATAGAAATGTTTTATAACATGTTTATACTGATTTGCAGTGACTCTTCCCCTAAGGGGACAAGTGAACCCAAACAGCACCAGCATCTGGATTCAGGGTTTTCCTTTAATTTGTCACAGTCTTGCAATTGTGTGTGTGCCTTTTGTGTTACTTATATTATGGGGACCAAAACCTGTTAACACACTCACATTGTGGGCACTTGGCCATCCTTGTGGGGACCAGAGACTGAAATGAATGTAAGTCAATATAAAGTCCCCACAAGAAATGAAAACACAGTGTGTGTATGCGCGCGTGTGTGCATGAAAGAGAGACTTTGCCATACACCACTGATTGGTAGCCTAAGGCATACACAGCTACAATCTGACAAACGCACTCTCTCCAGCTCTCTCTCCACACACACACACACACACACACACACACACACACACACACACACACACGCGCACACACACACACACAGTTTCATAGTGATTTGCCACAGTGAGCTCTCTTCATCTCTTCAGTTTCACATCCTCTGACACCCCCAGAGAATACTTTCACCATAAAAAGATTTCCATTGTCATCTTTTCTTTGAATGTCCAAACTTCTGTGTGTACACACACACACACACACACACACACACACACACACACACACCTAAACCTACACAAACACATGTACAAAGTATTACAAATAGCCTGGATGTTTTTTGTGTGTGTCAGGTCTTTTTGTGAGACTGAAACTCTTATCATGATACACTAGTGGAAAATTATATTGATTGTTATTATTTTGGACAGTCGTGTGTGTGGACAATAACCAATTATGCATTTAAAGTTATTCAAGTTAGGAAGCGGGTGTTATTCCTCACAGTGCGCTCAATAAGCATTTCAATCATCCCAGTTGTGCTCTGAGTGACACACTATTATATTAGCATTTTATAAATGAAATCCCAAGTCTGAACTGATTATTTCATATTTGAAAATCAAGCTGCTCTTGCCACAAATTTTCCACGCCAGTGTTAATTTCCTGTTTCTGTTTTACTTACCCATATCCAGTGTCTCCCACAGTGTCACTCAGTCTTTTTCCCTCTCATTTTTCCAGTTTTGAAAAACAAACTTCTTTTTCTACATGAGTCAGTGTCAGATCATACAGCACATGCAGACATTTTGACACCTTTGTTTCTAAAATTTAACAAAAGCAGTACAGTAGTCCCAATGAAAAGTGTTTTGCAGTTACATGCATGTTTACCAGAGGTCTGTAGCTTGTTATGTTTGACCAGCCCTATGGATGAAGATTTGTCTTTTACTGGCTCTGCCTTACTGAGCTATGACAGTCTGACACTGGAAATAGTGGTCTGCTTAGGAAGAAATAGAGCCGGAGTAACATGTTCATGCATATAATAATAAAGACACCACAGACTTAAGAGTCACTTTGAATGACCTTTGAGACCACAGTGTGTTTGTCATACCAAAGTCAATTAAGGTGGCAGCTTAATTTCTCTCTTTCCAATCAAAGCTGTTGACCGGAGATGGCCTTGCAATGAGCTTTGGCCCTGGCAGCGGTTCATTGATCTGGCTGGGGACAAATGCATCACAGATGTGTTGGTGGAACTTTCTGTGAGGTCAGGGGAAAAGTCTGTGTTAAGCACTACTGGTTGTATTTGACCAGTTCCTGTCCACAAAGGGCGTCCACATACAGAGACAGTAACGACTTTGATTGCCTGGTTACACCTTAGACAATCTTGTCTCCATCATTTGCTCTCTTGCCCTCCACTTCATCACTCTTTCTCAGTCTTCTTCATCAATCTAATTGATTATTTGTTTATTTTTTCCTCATCTCACTATCTCCTCCTCTCTTTACTATCTCCAGGATGGAAGCCATGCATCGTCGGCACACCACGCTAAGGGAGAAGGGACGTCGGCAGGCAGTGCGGGGCCCGGCCTATATGTTCAATGAACGCGGCTCGCCCCTCACTGCAGAGGAGGAGCGTTTTCTAGATGCTGCTGAATACGGAAACATCCCGGTAGTCCGCAAAATGCTAGAAGAATCCAAAACCCTTAATTTCAATTGTGTTGACTATATGGGCCAGAATGCTTTGCAGCTGGCAGTGGGCAATGAGCACCTAGAAGTGACAGAGCTACTCCTGAAGAAAGATGGGTTGGCTAGGATTGGGGATGGTCTGCTTTTAGCTATCTCCAAGGGTTATGTTCGAATTGTTGAAGCCATTCTTGGCCACCCTGCCTTTGGAGGGGGTCTGCGACTGGCTTTGAGTCCACTAGAGCAGGAGATGCGTGATGATGACTTTTATGCTTATGATGAGGATGGAACTCGTTTTTCACATGACATCACGCCCATCATCCTGGCTGCTCACTGCCAGGAGTATGAGATCGTCCATATCCTTTTGGTGAAAGGAGCTCGTATAGAAAGGCCACATGACTACTTCTGTAAGTGCTTGGAATGTGTGGAGAAACAGAAGCGAGACTCCTTCAGTCACTCGCGCTCCAGGATGAATGCTTATAAGGCACTGGCCAGTGCAGCTTACCTGTCACTCAGCAGTGAAGACCCTGTGCTGACTGCCCTTGAGCTCAGCAACGAACTGGCAAGACTGGCCAACATTGAGACAGAGTTTAAGGTGAGATTGTTTCTGTGTCTTTCTTTAACACTGTTTATATTTTACACCATGAAAGTTAATATATTGTATAGGAGACTTTATCAAAGGAGAAAGGAGAACATGACAAAGTGGGGTAGAGAAAGGAAGTCTTTTTCACGATATAGTACATTTGGTATTTATGGTTTTGGAGTGATAGAACAGCCATACTGCAAATGTAGATAAGTCTATTTAATCACCTCAGATATATGGCTGCTGTTCTTTCTGTGCACGTTTGTGAGGGAAAGATTGTAGACTATAAACAGGAGCTGCTGAAACAGACTTTGGCTCCATGACAATATTTGATTTGAAAAAAAAAAGTGTGTGTGTGTGTGTGTATACATGTCTTTTTACAGTTTTGTGGACATTTTATTTCTATACCAATAACGTGTGGACATTTTAGGCAGTCCTCACAACTTGAATGGGCAGTTTTAGAGTTAGGACTTGGTTTAATAGTTAAGATTAAAATTTGATTTTGGATTAAAACTGGAATTAGGCATATACAGTAAGTATATTGGTTAGTTAGGGTAAGGGGCATCATGTCACTGAATATCCTCGTAAGAACAACAGGTGTGTGTTTGAGAAAATTAAATATATAATATCTATGGAAGAGTATTAGGGCCACTGCATTTTTTTAAAATTTTATTCTGACTTTAATCTCAGAATTCTGACTAAAAGATGCTAAAGATGCTGTTTGAATTCTCTGAATCTAAAATCTTCCTCTGTGTCAGAAATAAAGACCTTAGATCCAGAGACTTCAAATAGCATCTTTAGCTACTGCACATGGGAAACTTAATTTCCTCCAGCAGGCACACAAATACACACCACACACTCCCACAGACACTAAAGTATCTTACTGTGCCCCAAAAACAAATGTTTTACCAGGAATCAAGCCTACCTGGGTGCTAAAGTATCGTACTGTGCCCCAAAAACAAATGTTTTACCAGGAATCAAGCCTACCTGGGTGTGCTGGTATATGTCCTGAAGCAGGATGACTGGCTTGGGCTGGGGGCACAACATGCCCGCCCACTTCTCAATGTCTGGAAGGTTTGAGCGAGCTTTAGTACGAGCTTGAGGTGAAGAAGAAGATGATCCTCCCCTTCTGTGCCGGGAGCGCACCTGTCCCAAATGAGCTGGCTTGTGAAATTTCACATAAACTAATAAGACTGATCACATGGTCTTTCTTGTTGTTGTCTTATAAATTAAGCTTGCTGGATTGGTTTGTGCTTAATTCAACTAGTGGTTTTCATCAGTGTTTCTAGAGAGATACAGTACACCACCACTTTCTCTCCAGGGGTCCACAGAGCTTTATTTTCTGTTTTCAATGTGGCAGCAACTATATGAATTGTGTGTAGAGCAGAGTCTCCTTTTGACTTTCTGCCTGGGAGACCTGTTAAAAGCCACTTTGCTGGCTCCATGGTAATAGTCAATTTTGACAGTCTTGTACTGCACAGTGTGACAAATACGCTTTTCTATGTGCTATCATTTACAGTTATCAGTACACTGTTCAATGTGCCAAAAGTTAGGTGAGCATTCCTATGGAGGTCCAGCATTCATCTTAAACAATGTTTTGAGCTATTATTGAGCACCACAGTGGGTATCAGGCCACGCCATCATAAATTTGCAAGGCACCATGACAAGGCCACACCATTCTCCAGGCCTAACCTAAACTAACCTAACATACTTTTAAGATGGTTTTTATATAATCTTACCAATAGCCACCTGGCAACCCTCCTGAATGATTTATGATCTATTGACCCATCTTAACTACAACAAATATGAGTGTGAGAGAGCACAGAAATCTGCAGGGTCATCAGGTGGGCACCCTTTCAGTACTTGTGCATTCTATCTATCAACACTGGTTGGTAGATTACTATTAACTTTTTGTAATAAATGAAATTCTGTGCATTCATACAGGTATATTTTTGTAAGATAACTACTCCATGTTTGGTTTTAGCATTTCTTCCATTAGAACATCCAAAAGCAGCACAACATTGGCATTTTCTTCCATTTGAACTGGCCACAACAGGCTGCCTGATGCAATATGGTGGAGAGTGTGATGCATCTCAGAAGCCCTGATGCGACATTTACCAACTAGCATGCTAAGCCAGCTGACATTCTAGGAATATACTCTACAATCTAGCATGCTGCCTGAGCCACCAGAAAAACCAAGCTGTTTTCAGTCCATTTTGATAATGCATCAACCAAACCAGCCAATCTCCTTCAGCAAGCAAAACATCATGCACGTTTATTTAATTGTATTTACAGATCATTCCATTCTTTCACTTCAAGCCAAATATTGTGTGATGCTTGTGGCCTAGTTAGCTTCAATTCAGATATTCATTCTGTTTGGCCATATGGACTCCATTAACATTAGAACAATTGCAGGTATGTTTCACTTTGAAGTTGTTGACACTGCACAGCTGTCATTGATCACATACTGAATTGTGTTCATAGTTGAAATCATTAATGTAAAAATATCATGTAATTGAACAGTGATCTGATAATGTTGCAGTTTTCTTAGGTCTGTTTATCTTCCTTTGTCCTTCAATATGTTGCTGCTTGTTTTCTCCCTAGCGTCCTGTTCATTTCTGTTTGTCATCTCCTCTCCCTTTATGTTTACCTTTGTGTTTGTTATCCAGCCTTTCTGCTTGTCACTCAGTTCCCGGTCTCTAGACAAGTTAATGAGAAGGGTTCACCTGAGGGACCAGAACTGTGTTAGAACTCATCTGTCTCATTACCATCTCATTATCACCCCTCTGTCTTCTGTCTTTATTTGTCTCCTCATCCCTTTCACATCATCTTTTCATTAAAATAAAATATTAAACAATGTTAAAACATTGTGACTAACACCTTAGACAGTCCTGTTTCATATGGTGATATTGAATAGGGGAAATAAAAGTTAGAGCATTAACTGAGGCATCTCGTCACTGGCAATTAATGTGAAATGTGAACAAACCAAACAATGCTTTGTCATTATAGCACCCAGACATTTCAAGAAATTTCAAAGAATAAATATTCTTCAACAACAATGCCAAAACTAGCATGTTTTAAATATGGAAAGGATATTAGATTCCATGCCATAAAATCCTCTACAATGGAGTGAATATTGTTGTTCATTCAAGCCAATTTGAGTGCTGTCACACCCTTCAATGGCTGTTATCCCTCATTTTCATTTTCTGTACCTGTGAGGAGGCCACGGCATTATCAACAAATGTGCACCCATGGTACAGCATGCAGGTGATCTCTAGTGGTAATGGTACTGCAATTATGACACAAGCCACAGAGTGAATGTGGTGACATAGTATATGAAGGGAGAAAGTTTGCATTAGGAAGAAGATGGATAGATGGTTTATAAAACACTGGACTTTCCCACAGGTGAGTGGTGTTTAATCCCAGTGTAACACTTTGTTTCGTGCCCATGACCATTTTACCCCAACCCTTGAGATACCCTTAAGATTAAAAAATAAACTTATTTGAATTGAGTCTATTTACCATGTCAAGTACAAGCCAAAACAATTTTCTGACCTTCTGGCAGTAATACACACCCTCTCACAAAGCAGAAATGAGAGTGGTGCAACTGGTGCATGTTGGATGTTTATGAAGAGACAGGACATCCCAAACAGACTAACATTTATCTTCAAAGATCTTATTTACAAGACAGCCCATCAATTCCTCATGGGATCATCTGGACACACGCAGACACGTACACTTACCCTCCACATACCCTTGGGAGAGACAGAAAGAGACGCAGTAAGTGGGAGGAGGGTGTCATTTAATTTTTTTAAATTTAATTTTAGTCTCTTCTTGCATCAAGTCAATTTTAGTTTAATTTGGTTTCTTTTAATATTCTGAAAAATGTAGACAAATACCATAAGAAAGAGACTGATGGTGGAAATCTACTCAAGCTAATACCAACTATCTTTATTTCTCTCTTTAATCTTTAATCCTTTTATTTTACATCCCATTCCCTTCTTCCATGTTTAAGGTTTGGCTCATGTCACCCATGTCAACAACTCAACTTGTTTTCACTGTGCTCTCCATTTTCAGCCCCACAATATGATTCCCTTTCTGTTATCTCAAACCCCAGAGGAAAAACATGTACCTCGGGTTATGATTGGATTTTTGCAAATGCTGTATGTGTGTGTGTGTGGTGTCTGTGCATGTGTATTCTTGATGTGTGTCTTATGCAAATATCACTGTTGAAGAAAACATTCGGGTGTTTGCACTACTACTTGAGGCTTTGTCTTTACCTGAATGTAAACAGACATGAGATTGTAATTGATTTCTTTCATTTAGCCACCCAGAGGAGAAAGTCACCAGTGCAGTTATGTTCCTAAAGGGCCAGAAGACGCTTGCTGCCATTGTTTGATGCTGCAGATTTCCATTTTAATTTGCAGATAATTATGTGACTTTGATCATGCTTATCTAACATGCCACATTCAGTTCAATTACTTTTTTCCAGTGTCAAAACCAAGACTGATTTTGCAGATGTTTGGTATTTGCTGTAAGGCTGTGAGCATACTGATTTTGATCCACACAACTGATTTCACCATTTTATATTCAAGACAGACACTGTCCAAGTCATGCTGGGAAAAAATACTCCCTTACTAAAAATGGTCAAATGCTTGAAAAATGGGATTGATGTTCATGGTCAGTATGTACCAAAATACATTACAGGTCTATATAGTTATTATAGCTGCCCACAGAAATGTACAGTATACCCTAAAAGAAAGTGAGAATAGAACTGGTAATTCCCTACTATTAAATTATAATGATTTTGTTATGGAGACCAGTATAAACGCTTTGGTGGAACTTAATGGTATGCCTGAACACACCACAAGCACAACAGTGAATGCAAAATGAGAATGACTCCTTAGGGAATTTAAACCTTCCTCAATCCCCAGTCTGTTGTCTGTTTCTCTGTTCGACCAACTGTGAAGGAAGAGAACAAGGCAGGAGGGTGAGGGAAGGGTAGAAAGAAGGATGAGAAGTGAGCTGTGGGGATCATAAGACAGAGGGCAAAAGGGTTGAAACATGACTCATTCACAGAAGAGCAGGAGACAGGGTTTACAAGTTTGATAGGAAGTGGGTGAAATTATGTTCAATTACTATGGTCCCAATAGTTTGTTTTATTTTTGCATTCGATAGCGGTGATAGTATACAGAGTCACCCAAGTCCTGAAAGATAACACACTCATCACATACAGATCCAGGTTTATAACATCCTTTATATGTTTAATAAAACATTCTTTCCTTGATTTGTAACATGTTTCCTAGTTAGTATAAGAGCTAGTCAGGTAACTGTGGCTTTATCCTAAAGAATGCTGTTTGTTGAAGCATCAAAGCTGAATGTGCAGCTTTCCATTGTCTTTTTCCCCTATTCAGCTACTACACATTTACATTTATTTTAGAAACACTGGCAAAATAAAATGCAACTCAGTTTTTCATTGTTCATACTATATATTCTTAAGAGGGTGCACAAGTCTGCACCAGCAAGTTTTCCACTCTGTTAAAACCACAACATTCCTTTGTTGTTCCTTTCTCATATAGCAAAATAATCTGCATAAATCAATTGTTCCTGTGTTACCAAACATGTGGAAGAAGGTGCTCTGGTCAGATGAAACCAAAATCGAACTTTTTGGCAACAATGCAAAACGTTATGTTTGGCGTAAAAGCAACACAGCTCATCACCCTGAACACACCATCCCCACTGTCAAACATGGTGGTGGCAGCATCCTGGTTTGGGCCTGCTTTTCTTCAGCAGGGACAGGGAAGATGGTTAAAATTGATGGGAAGATGGATGGAGCCAAATACAGGACCATTCTGGAAGGAAACCTGATGGAGTCTGCAAAAGACCTGAGACTGGGATGGAGATTTGTCTTCCAACAAGACAATGATCCAAAACATAAGGCAAAATCTACAATGGAATGGTTCACAAATAAACATATCCAGGTGTTAGAATGGCCAAGTCAAAGTCCAGACCTGAATCCACTCGAGAATCTGTGGAAAGAACTGAAAACTGCTGTTCACAAATGCTCTCCATCCAACCTCACTGAGCTCGAGCTGTTTTGCAAGGAGGCATGGGCAAAAATTTCAGTCTCTCGATGTGCAAAACTGATAGAGACATACCCCAAGTGACTTACAGCTGTAATCGCAGCAAAAGGTGGCGCTACCAAGTATTAACTTAAGGGGGCTGAATAATTTTGCACGGCCAATTTTTCAGTTTTTTATTTGTTAAAAAAGTTTGAAATATCCAATAAATTTCGTTCCACTTCATGATTGTGTCCCACTTGTTGTTGATTCTTCACAAAAAATTACAGTTTTATATCTTTATGTTTGAAGCCTGAAATGTGGCAAAAGGTCGCAAAGTTCAAGGGGGCCGAATACTTTCGCAAGGCACTGTATATAGGCGACCTGTCCAGGGTGTACCCCACCTTCGCCTGATTGCCGGCCGGGATTGGTGAATGAATTCAGTAATATTAAAGAGAAAATTACAGGGCTTACCAGTTTATTTTATTTCAACATGTGTATGTGGGCCAGTGTGAACCCTGTGGTGGTTTTCTTTTTTTTTCTTATAAATACATCAAATCAGCTTTGCAATCATTGATAAAGCAAGTCAAGTGGAACTCTCCATAGGCAAGCACAATTTATGAAGATACCCCAGCTCTCTGCTTGATTTTCAAGATGGAAAGGTGATGAACCTAATCACTGCATTGTCATTTTTCACGCTCAGGCCATATTGTAATTGCAAATGGAAATCTCTATCTCTGACAGTTTGACATTTCTCAAGGTGTGTGACGTCTAAGCTCATACAGGTGAGGACCCACATTATAGTAGGCCAAGTGGCAAAAAGTGCAGGAGAAGCAGCTTCATGCCATCACTGGCAATGATAAAAACATTTCAACAAGACAAAAGACTGTGGAGGTGACTGACTGCACTTTACACAGGCAAAAACAGGTGTCAGGTGAGTTGACAGCCTATCATCATTTACTAAGAGAAGACTTTGTAAACAGACAGGACACACAAAGAGGACTTGTTCATAGTTTCATTGTAGTGATGTTGGCTCATTTGAAGTACCAGAAAGAGCCTCAAGAAAGAGCACTGTGTGCAACCACTTGGTGACATGACCGGCTCAAAGTTGATGTTTAAATTATGTTTTAAGTTAAGCTTCTCCTCTTCTCTCTGCTTTTCTCCACCTAACTATGGACCTGCTCCACACTGGTGCAGAATGACTATCGTAAGCTGTCCATGCAGTGTAAGGACTTTGTGGTGGGTGTGTTGGACCTTTGTCGAGACACGGAGGAAGTGGAGGCCATACTGAACGGTGACGTGGACCAGTGCCCTCCGAGCCCCTACAATCGTCCCTGCCTCAGTCGTGTCAAACTGGCAATCAAGTATGAAGTGAAGAAGGTAAGAAGACTGAAAAATAACACATAGATGGTGATTCATAGTGTTTGGGGATGAATCTAATCCCTGGTTCCTTTACCAGTGATATTTTCTCATCTTAACCATACCTTAAAGAATCACTCCAGCAGATTAATATTGTGTTCCCATAAAGCCGGGGGACTGCAAGACTCAAGTTAGAAGAAGAATCAGCAGTAGGGATATCATCACCTTTAGTCTCTTCCTTTGGTCAAGCACCAAAACTCTTAATCCTATAATTCCCATAATGCGGTTGATACCATCTCTTGTTAGACAATCCCTATGTGATAAATGCCCATGATTTTCAAACTCCATGCTCCCAGATTGTTACACAGGCTTTGTGTTATACGTTTATTTGTATATAGTTTATTTGTCTTTAAGCACAGGCAAGCCAAAATAACCCTGATGATATCATTATGGTATAATCATGGGTTCTTTTTTCAGACTTTGGTCATTTCCCCCATAGCCATAGAAGTCATTATACAACTCTTTTCACACGTTGCATAGTGCTCCCCATGACCAGTAAACTGGACCTGGAAGATTGGTGGTGAGTAGGTTAGTAGGTTTTTGTAATCTAACTGTTATGTTGATTTGATATGAGGACTTTTTTCGCCCGATTGCTGCCCGGGATTGGCTCCGCCCCCCCCCCATGACCCCGTTCAGGGACTAAGCGGTAGAAAATGAATGAATGAAAATACCAGCAGTGTTTTACTGCAGTTTTACATGTACATTTGTGTGTGAGGGTAAACTAGTGTCTATGTGTATTTTGTATTTTGTGCACATGTAAATATACTATGTTTGGGTATTTTGGCACATGTGGCCTCAGAAGGCTCCATGTAAACAATAAACTGGCCTGTCAGAGAGCTAATCCCTGCTGAGCAGAAGTGATGCTACTAAATGTCAAACCAAATCCCTTTTTCCCAATTTCACCTTACTGTACTCTCTCTCTCTGTCTCTCACACACATATAGTCCTATTTTACCTTCATGTGCTGAATGTTTCTCTAATAGGGTAAATCCTGCATGAACATGTGTGTAAGTGGTAGCGTATGTGCGTGTTTGTTTTTTGCGCAGTACACAGCCTGTTTGAGCTTTGTTTTTATCCTGTATGCTGAGCATGACCAACACTCTGGGAGCTAATTACAGGAGGGATGAGGGAGAGAGAGGGAGGGATAGATTGCCAGGGAAACCAGGTAGATCATGGCTGTGTGTAGTGAATGGTGCTGGATGCAGGCAGGGTTTTTGTCATGGGTCGGTGTGTTGATTTGACTGGTCACTGGATATTGGGAAACTATAACAACTATGGTTTAGTGTGCAGTCCCTCTATAGAATTCACTGGTGTACATGCACATCAATAGTGTTTTCATCTGTGGACTGGAAGCAGTGATGTCAGTCGTCAGCCGAGACAAAAGCTTCCTGAATGTGATTACTGATGCTGATTGGTGGAGGGGTGTGACAGGTTGATGGGCAGAGAAAACAAAAGAAGATAATTAAAACCACTGGGGAGCAGGTTTGACCAGAGGTAACAAACCTGTTGCTGAGATCCTATATGTGGATGAAAAACGATACACAAACACAGAGTTTGACAGTTTCACTAGTGTACTGCCTGCTGATTATTGAATGCTCCGTTGTCCACATCCTTCCTTCAGCTGGAACATCCACCCCCTCCTTCCTCACCAGACTGGTGGTAACTTTCATTTATCACTTCCTTTCTTGGAGTAAATCCATCAACAGATGGTGAAATGCTAGTCCAAGCCTTATTTAATAAAGCAAATATGCTTCATAATAAATGTGAACACTCTTATTTGTAGCCTGCTTTCTTTTGTTTACTGTATGTTAAATTGATTTGTCAATCTGCTTGTTGGCTTTTTTTCTTTCTAAATGAAGCCAAGTGGCAGCCAGAAATACAAATGTGTTGTGAATAAAATGTTTTGATTATAATAAATACAAAATAGATGTGCTCTACAGAGAAAAGCAGCCTGCACCCCCAGGTAGTTATGAGTACTTTAAATATTAAATAGAGTACTAGAAATCTTCCTTGTGAACATGGTACTCTTTTGTATCTCATTCATTTTACACTGGTTGTAATTTATAAGGCTAAGAAAGTCAGAAATTCAGCCTGTTAAATAAGCCACCTTCTGGATGTTTTAGTGCAGCTTACACTTGCTTCAGTGGGTCTGTAAAAAAGGTCAGAAACAAATGTGAAAGTTTTATCAAGCTAGAGTGAGAAAATCAAATTTGTCTTGCTTCTTTGAAAATAGTCGTATTTATATATTTGCTAATTGCTCCTCCATCCTCTTCCCCTCTCTTTCTCTCTCCTCTTTCAACTTCCTTCCCTGCACCCCCTCTCCTCTTCCTTTATTCTTCATCTTATTTAAAATTCCGGCCCTCATCTCTCACTCTCCAGTTCGTTGCTCATCCCAACTGCCAGCAGCAGCTGCTGACTATCTGGTACGAAAACCTGCCTGGTCTGAGGCAGCAGTCCATCGGTGTGAAGTGCTGGACAGTGCTGGGGGTCACTGTAGGTTTGCCCTTCCTGGCTATCGCCTACTGGATAGTGCCATGTAGTAAGGTATGAAGCAAGGAAATGACATGTACAGTATATTGTTCCACTCTTTGTCCTGTCATCACCACTTATCTTAACCAGTGTTAAACTAATTCACACACACAACCAAACACACACTATTAAAGGGATGTTCTTTGGTTTTGTTTCTATGTTGTTTCTAACCCTCCAGCTGTCCTAGACAGTTTAAATGTGCATTACACACCAGAGAACAAAATTACTGAGTCGATTAGATGCTTGTAAGCACAACTGATGCAAAAATGTAAAGTTGGCGATCAGATTTATCCTCTGTACTATTTTAAAGACATCTTCAGCTCAGCTTGTCAGGCTCAGCTCTACATTTAGGTTTATTCTAAGCTGTCTCTTTACAGTCATGATAACAAAAGTGCATACTAAGATGATACTCCATCCAGAATCTTTTGTAGCTGTAGAGTCAAAGATATTTACTGTAGACTTTAAATGTGACTTGTAATTTGTAGCTTGACCTCAGTTATAGTGTTATGATTCTAATGGTGAACCTGTTTTATAGAGAAAAATTGAATCTGATCTCCGCAGGAAGTCCATTAATCACTGCTGTTGCATACTGTACATCAGTTTCTTCACTGTGAATTTGTGTGCTAATATTTTTAAAACACTCATACAGTATTTTTGCTTGCAAAAACCTTTCAGGCTCATTAAAGTCAATCGATGTAGTCTTCAAGGGGGCAACGAATATGTGGCAAATTTCATGGGAATCCATCCACTAGTTGTTGAAATACAGACACACAGACAAAGCACTAGTGTGGCTAAAAAGATTTCTGATTTAAAGAGCACTGTATAACCACTATTTGATTATAGGGCCCCGAGGCAATTTATCATATTTTGTTAACTCTCCATCACACAAAATATAATAAAGCGACATATAAATTGACACAATATGACGCATTAACACGCTCACAGGAGCTGAGCAAGTGACTATTCAGATTGCTCCGCTTGGAAAATCCTCTACCTCATCATCAAGAGGTGTATGTGTATGCCAAAACAGTTTTGAGGATCTCTGAGTGGTTCGTGTGAGATGTAACTGATGAATGAATCACTCTGTAGAATAAGAAAGAGCAGCTGATGTGGAGAGAGGATGGGGAGCAGTAATGCTAAGAGAACATCTCCACCAACAGACATAGACTCAATCATTACTGTATCACGAAAACACCTGTTTATGTCCATGTGTGTGCTTGTACGTGCGTACACATGTAGACACGTGTGTGTGTGTGTGTGTGTATATGATTAGATTTAATTATGAATCAACCAACTGATGAGTCTGTGTCCCCGTCTCTTTTTCTGCCACAACTGAGAGAGCAGGAAAACGGGCTGTAATGTAGAAAATCAACAAATTACAGTAGTATAGGATGCAAAACACCTTGTAACTCTGTCGTTTTTATTATTATGTGCATGATTTGAAAAGATCATTAAAACTTATATTGACATTTAAGATGTTGCAAGTGCAGAGCTACAGAGGGTGGCATAATAAAACTATTTAATCAAATTAATAACAGAGAGAAAATGGATGTTATTCATGCTTAAGCAGCTCAACAGAGAAACCAACAGGTATATTAAGAAGCTATGATTTGTTTTGGCTGATTGTGTGTAGTGTGGCCTCCTACACCTGGTGCTAATCCTGGAGCTTTTTTTTCTATCAGTTGCTCATATTTTTGATCTTTATAGCAGCACAACACACCACTGTCAGAACCCCAAACTATATTACATTTCATATCAGCTGGGAGCAATGAAGGAGATACTGACACTCCTGATGCTCAATGATAAGTAATAAATCAGAGTAAACATGAATATAATTGTTTTAGAAATTTCTTTTAGGAGAGAATTGTGAGACTTTCTTTGGAAGTGATGAAACATGTATTTTAATATAGAGTGTTTATTGATGGAAAAGGGTGGAAATGCAGAGAAAAAAGACAAATATCGTAGGCGCATGTGACAATACTTCACCGAAAAAAGAGAGATAAAACATGGAGCAAGAGGAAAAAAAACAATAGGAGGAATAAAAATGGTAGGGGAACAAAATGCCTGTGAACAGCCATCAGGTTCCCCACTTCCAGGAAAATAGCTTGATGCTGTAGTCGAGAACTGACTCAATAATTAAATTTATACAACATAAGAAAACAGCTTTTTTGGAAACTTCTACTTGTGCTTTATTATTGACAGACTACTGCTGCATTCATTGATCAATTAATAATGCAAAACTATCATGGGACTTAAATACAGATGTCATTTATAGAGGGTGCTACAGCGATTATATTTCACGTGTAAGCTTCAGCAGTTTAATGGGGATAGACATATACTTTGTGGAGAGTATTCCAACTTTTTGATTTATTGCGTGGTATTTCTCACTATCTATAATTAATAAGAACAAACTTGATAAGATTGTTATTGTGTCAAGTACTGTGAGAATGCAAGTAAACAGCATTACAGTGTGACAGTGCTTCGTGAGTCTTGAGCGTTAAGGAAGGCCCGGGCAATTATTAGAGACATATTACACCCTCTGTGTAGTGAATACGAGTCGTTATCATCAGGATCAAGGTACAGGGTACTGCTGTGGCATAGTGCCCATGTCCAGAGATCTTTCATACCCTCCATTATAACTTTTCTAAACAATTATTGTGATATGTGTGATGTCTGCATGGGTTGTGTATGCCCATCTGTGTTGCGTTGTGCTAATGTCTAATGCACTTCCCTGACAATTTCCACAGACACAAAAAGAATTTCAGAAAGTACAATAAATAGAATTTGAATTGAACTGAATTGGCTTCGGTGCAGTATTAAAAATAGTCCTATAAGTGACCAGGTAAGAAGCCAACACTGGATGATAGCAGGAATCTACAGTAGAGAGAATAGGAGTTGAAGTTCTGGCTGAAAGATCCAGGGTCACTGCATTCTAGTTTGGTCTTTCTGTGGTACAGAGGTGTTAATAGTTTTATTTGTCCAGTCCTTTATCTACTGTATATTTTCAGAGGATCACAACCCACCTAGGCAGGCCTTGTCTGGTTCTGGTCAGTCTGGCCAGACAGACCACCTTCCTTCTACAGCTCTCCAGAGGTAGTTAGTCTACTCTATAAATCCAGTTAATCCACTCCACAGGTTAATCTTTCTCACAGTTAGTTTAAAAAGCCCATCAGCTTAAACCATACTAGGTCAGACCTGGAATACTTCAAAATAAGGGCTTACTTTCCTGTGCACATCCACACTGGCTCCCTCAGTCACAGCACACTGCTCCTCTCTGCCTCATGTTGGTAAGGTTCTCTCTTCTGCCTGTTCTCCTTGGATGCATTTATGGGGAAAGAAACACCCTGCATCAGTGAGAATGCTTCAGCCATCACACAGGTGTGGTTACAACACATACACACAAAACTTGTCTATCGATCTTAAAGGGAAAATGCATGCATTTGTCAAATGTTATAAAGCACTAAAGAAAAGAAGGTTCTTAATTTGATCTTCTGCTTTTTGGATTTCATAGCACATGAGGAAAGACAACTAAATACAAACACACACCAACAGAACTACTGGCATGAGACTTTTTATATGGTAATTAAACCAGCTATCACAATCAATTTGACATAGATACACTGACATTTCTGAATGCTACATGTTGCTGGCACAGTCCCATTAGCTAATCATTTTTTCATTAATTACTTTTGTACAGTCTCATCTATTTAATTTGCTGTCTCTTTGTATGCAGACTCTGACCTGCTATCTGTTATTTTAGTTACATCTCAAAATTTCTTTGGCTTCTCCCCTCATCCTCTTCTTTTCTAAATCTTTTCTTGTCTTCATGTCTGTTGTGTCCTGGGAGGTGCAAACCTAGGTCACTGCAAGAAAGAAGTCAAATCAATACATACACAACAGGGTCATAATCCATTTATCACTGATGGAATGACTGGATTTCATTGACTAGTCTTGTAGTGCCTTAACCTTTGTCAGTAAGGGTGTAAACACTGTGTAACACATAAAGTATTACACAGCAAGAAAGTAAAGGGTTTTTGGGAAAGATGCAGCTGCAGTTCTATATGAGTGATTGCAGTGTCGGTTTGATCAATTGAAAATCCATATTGGTAAATGGGATTGTGTATCTGTGTGTGAGTGTTATGGTTCAGTCCCCCTCACCAGGAGGGTGAGGGAGAACTGGGGTTGGACTCAAGATGGCTGACCCAGGTGCTAGTACAAAAAAGGTGGTTTAATGGAATAAAAACATGACAACATAAGGTCGATAATACCTACAACAAGGGAAGGGCAGTGATGACTAAGGAGATCAGGACGAACAGGTCAACACACAAACTAACAACAGGAACTAGGATAGCAAAGCATGAGAACGGACAGGTGAACAAAAAGAACCAACGTAAACGATGCAATCCACAGCACAGAGACTGCCAGCGTGGAAGACAAAGCACATTTCTGTGTTGCTAACCGCACAATTAGCGTGATAAGGTCAAGCCAAGACGCACAGAGACTGTCAGCGTAGCATCTTACACACGTCTAAAAAATTGCAATGCTCTAGCGACGACGGGGCGTCTGCCAGAGGTATAAATAAGGAAGCCAACAAATCACTGGAATACGCCTCAGGTGTGCGCACCGACCCACGAGTCACTAATGAAGCCAACAAATCACCGGAATACGCCTCAGGTGTGCAAACCGACCCACGAGTCACTAATTACCCGATGCGACACAGCTGAGGCGTTGATCCCACAAAAAGGGAGAGCAGGAGAGGGAAAAAGAAAGAGAGGCAGGTCGCGCCGAGCGGACCTGACAGTGAGTATAGAGAGCCAAGTGGAAAGTAAGAACAATGAAAAATAAGAACAGAAACTCACATTTAAAAACACATTTAAAAGAGTCCCCCATAGCCTGTTGTCATTTAAACAAAGTATACATAGCAGAAAGTCTGGATACTAAATTATTCACAGTGGGTGCCTATCTGCCTTCAGCATAAGTCAGGATTGATTCTCCCAGATGAAAAGATGTTAGGGAATAACAGAGGACACAGCAGCTCCCTTCTGGCCTTCTGAGATTTCCATTTCACACCAAACCTCTTATTTAGTTTGCATGCACCTGCTACCGGCAGCCACTGTTTTGTAGGAAGAGAGAAGATCAGCTCTTGTCACACCCAGATATGCAGTCTTCACATAGTGCATAGTGGTAAGGCTGATCTAGGATGACCATCTCATTTAAGCAACAAATCTATCAGCCTTACCAGCACAGAAGCAGAGCTATCCCAGCAGCAGGACAAGGGCTAGAGGAGGTTTTTCAGGGTTCAAATTTACCAGACAACCTCTTTCCACATTGTTTAATAGTGTGTGTGTGTGTGTGTGTGTGTGTGT